TCATTAGCAAACTGGGGTCCTGGAACGATGATACCAACTTTGTCTTAAACTCCAAAGCATTTTGTGTTAGCAGTCAGCTGGCAGGATCTCTGAACAAAAGCCCTAGGCTATAGCACAAAGCCACAAGAGAAGAAAGATCAAGACACTGGCTCATAGAGGGCTTTATTCTGAATCCTGCTGAGCAGCCATTGACTTCAAAGTGTCACTGTAGTCAGGTCCTCCGCCCACTTTTAATGTAAGGCAAAGCTTTCCTGGAGTGATCAAACAGCCCTCTGCAAATATTGGGAGGTTTTGACTAGTTGTTCATTCAGGCTTTGATGTCAACTGTCCTTGATGTCACCAGAAAAGTCCCACACCAGGTGAGCAGAGGAGCTCTTAACCAGCACTGGAATTTGCTTTGCAAAGTTTCTTTATCACAAGCTGCCTCACCTATATTCATGCAGCCAAATCTCCATTCCTGTTTGATGAGACCATGCAATTAGCTACGGAGCAGGAGTCAGAGACAGAATTAAGGCTTCCTGGTGAATACCAAAGTGCATTGTACTCAGCGTCCATTGAACAGATCCACAGTGCACAGCATCTCAGGAGGGACATAGTGTTATCACCAGTCTGTTGGAGGCTAAATGGTGAGAGCCAGTAGTGCTGTCTAATCCTCACGACTCTGGGTTGTGTTCCTGACTCGGCCACGACCCTGCTGCAAGATCTTGGGCAAACCACTTATTCTCTCTGTGCCTATTTATGTACCCATATGCCCCTCTTACTACAGTAGCTGTGCACCTCACAATCTTTAATGTATCCATCCTCACAATGCCCCTGTAAGGTAGGGAGGTGCTATTATCTTCCCCTGCCGATAAGGCACAGAGATTTACCTAAGATCACACAGAAAGTCTGTGGTGGAAGAGGAAACTGAACCCAGGTCTCCCAAGACTCAAGCTAGCACCCTAACCACTGGACTATACTTTCATCTCTTAAACTGCCTCAGTTTTCCCATCTGTAAAATGGGGACAGTACCACACCATTATCTCCTAGGTGGCAAGGAAGCTTAACTAATGTCTGTGCATTGCTTTGAGAACCTTGGATAACATGTCCAGGAGAAGGGCAACTATTTAACAAGAAAACCCAGCTCATTTTGATTCATACTGCAGGAAATAAACAGGCCTGGACCAGCTGCAGCTGTCATGCTTCACTAACATCTGTCTGCAGTTCTGAACAGCTTGGAGGGAATCGGTCTTATTCATTCTGCGCTGTCTGTCAAATACATGCAGAGCCTCAGCGTCCGGTTTCACTCTTCCCATAGGAAAGCCCCAGTGCTTTGAAGGTTGAGCGTGACCTGATACATTGATTTGTGCATTGGTGTAGGGGAGAGGATGCAAGTATACTGGCGAAGTTAAGGTGGGTTGGGGAAGTCCCCCACACATCTCAAAGGCCAATACAGAAAAGGCTTGGAAACCTTGTCTACAATTGTGACGGTGTGTAGGGTACGTGTCGCTGCACACCGCAGTGAAAGGCAGGCTGCGTCCACACTGCGTGGTGTGTTGTACACATGGCAGTGAAAGGCTCTGGCAAAGGCAAGGAGCTGCCGGAGCCTCTCCCTGCTGTAAATGGAGACTTTCACTGCGGCTGGGAAAGGTTCCAGAAGTGCGAAGGCAGCAGTGTAGACATGGGAGACGCTGCACGAGCATGTAGACACCCATATAGATATATAGCCTAGAGGTTCTGGCATGTCTATATTCTATTCACCTATGCAATGCCTCAGTGTCTACATTGCTAGTTACACCCATGCTCTCGGGGTGTGCCATGTCTGTACTCTGCACACCGCTGCAAGCGTAGGCCTATGTGAAGACACAAGGGTGGAAGTCCTGAGATACTCGGGTGGATGGCACTGGTTAAACATGACTGGATAAAATAGCGAGAAGAGAACATGTCAGAGCACAAATTCCCTAGCCAATGCTATCCCCTGGGAATGGGTTGTTAGCAGGAGGAACTGGGGAAAAACCTCATGTGATAAAGCAAATCATTCACTTCCTTGGCAGGAGTTAGGGGACCCAAGGACAGCACAAGCTGCTGGATGGATGCTTTTACATATTTCTGCCTGGCTGGGTACTTATATGGCAATCCTCCCCATAGCATTGCAACCATGGGTGGTTTTGAATCATCAGAATACCCCTGAGAAGCAGGGGAATATCATGCCCTTTTTATAGATGGGAAACTGAGGCAGAGGGTAGATTAAGTAACTTGACCAAGGTCACACAGGGAATCTGTGGCAGGAACTAAAACCACTTCTCCCAGGTTCCTGACCTGGGCCTTTGCCAATAGACCACCCTCCCTCGCCCACACTGATTCTTTTCCTAGCACCCCATTCCTATATCTTCAGAAGCTGCAACGGTTCACATTCTGAGGGCAGGTTGGGATTTAATTCAAACAGTTATTTTGCTGGCTTACGAGACCCTAGAATGAATACATTGAATTCTTTAGCCTTTGTTTCCTTCATCCCCAGTATCAGGTCTTGAGCATATCCACTCTGCCTAGACATTTACAATACATTGAACTGGGTCCAGCTCCCATTTGAGCTTAATGCACCCTTTCAGAATGGACAGAATAAGAAAGGAAGAGAGGGATGGTGAGGTGAGGTGCTTGCAGATTGGTCAAGACAGATCCATTTACTAGCTCTTCAGTCAGGGACAGTTCAGGAGATTGAGCTGTCCCTATACCTGAGCTGGTGCCAAAGTGACAGTCTAAATGTGACACGATTTATCACTCATTGTCAAAAGCGATCAGCTGGTAAAATGTTTTTAGGTCAGTAACCGCCTGTCCTTTAATAGGGCATTAGACTAGGTCACCTCAGATCCCATCCCCCCACAACTACAAGAAATAGTATGACAGCGTGCTTCTCTCCCATCTCAACTCCCTCCCGCTTTCCTCCCTGGGGATGGGGAAAGCGTAAATAGGGCCCAGATGGACCAAACCTTGGAGTCCGTTAGACGGACTCTTCTGAAAGACTCTTCCTCCCAGTACACAGTAGGGTGGCCTCTGGGCCGTCTTCCAAATGAGGTTGGAGTGAGGGATGGATTCTATATTTCCAAGCAGCTTGCCCCTCCCTGGACAAAACCCCCATAGCCGAGATTGGCAGAGGCTGAGCAGTAGGATGCACAGAAGCTGGTGCCTGCCAGCGTCTAATGCTGGGAAGGGGGCATCTTCCTGCATCCTCTCCTGTGGGGTGAACCTATTTCTGAGTCGAGAGAGATCCAAGCGGTGAGTTCCAGAACCCCAGTTTGATCATCCACAGAGCTCAAAGGGGTTTGAATCCCACGCTCTGGTTCTGAGCGATGCATTCTGAGTCCAGCTCCAGAGCTGAACCTGCCCAATGCAGGAAGAGGTTCAAGTTTTACCCCTCTTTGGGGGTGCTGACCAGTATGTCAGAAGCAGGGATAAGTCCATCAATGGCTATTAGCCAGGATGGACAGGGATGGTGTCTCTAGCCTCTGTTTGCCAGAAGCTGGGAATGAGCGACAGGGGATGGATCACTTGACGATGACCTGTTCTGTTCATTCCCTCTGGGGCATCTGGCATTGGCCACTGTTGGTAGACAGGATACTGGGCTAGATGGACCATTGGTCTGACCCAGTATGGCCATTCTTATGTTCTATGGGACCCTGCTTTATAAAGAGGATCTGTAAACACAGAAAAGAAGACAACATATGAAAGTGAATGGATCCCATGTTAATAGCAAAGTTCTTGAGAGCTGGGGACAGGGCTGTGTGCGATAATCCAATCTCAGAACCTTTGACCCGAGCAATGCAACTTCCCTGCTTAACTACACTCAGGCAGCATAAAGGGCCCCCTCAGAGAGAGCCTGGTTTCTACCTCACTCATAAAACCAATTTACATAGGGTGGCTTGTTAACATTTTATTAACAGATTTCTTCTCCCCAAGGCTCTCGGGAACCAGCACGAGACAAGTTCATGCCAGGTGTTACTCCACTAAAAGAATGGAGGAATGGGCCCCGTGTGGCTTGCGGCTAGAGCACAGGACAGACAGGACTCCTGGGCTCTGTCGGTGACTCATTTCAAGAAAACCATTTAACCTCTATCATAATAATACTTTGCATCTTCCCCTCCAGCATCTCAAAAGTGCTCAATAAACCGTGAATGAAAATGACAGGGCTCATGATAAAAAATGAGTCTCCAAAATACCAGTGTGAGGCTGGTAAGGATGGTCCCCATTTTGTACGTGGGGAAATGGAGGTACAGAGAGATGAAGTGTCTTATGGGAGGTCACACTGCAAATCTAGGGCTGCAGGGGACCTCCAGGAACAGAACCCAGCACTCCTGACTCTGACCACTGGGTTTTAACCAACATCTCGCTCTAGTCTGTAACTCAGAGTCTCCATCCCTAAAAGCCAGGGAGAATACTACTTACTTACTGTACAAACTCTCATCCACCCCTGGCTGCGGTGGCCTTTGTGGATTAGTGTTTGTAAAGTGCTTAGCGATCCTTAGGTGCACGGCCCTGTAAGAGTCCAAAATATGACAAGTGTTCCATTGTAAGTCTGGCTGAAAGCGAGAGTGCTCTTCTGTGGAGCAGAGGGGAGAATAGGACAACAGCTCTATACTGTATCGATGTATCACACTCTAGAGCATGGGCAACTTTACCCCGCCTCACTCTAGAATTGCCTTTACCTTCCGACCCCACCCAGAACACAACAGAGTGCGGCAGCATCACTAGTTCCCAAAGAAGTGAAAGGGGGGAAAGGAAGCTGATAAATCTAGGAACCACTCCAATTGTTTTGCTAGCCTCAATACAATTCCCCTGGCAGAGAGAGAGAGAGATGTGCCAGACATCCTGATTTTTGCATTAGTGCGCTCTCGTCCTTGTGGGAGACAATCCTACGGAAGTGGATCATGTGTTTTCACCTGCTTACCAATTATCTGTGGGAGGAGCATTCAGCTACCCTGTAGCATTTGCAAACAAGTTCACAGAGTCCAGCCAACTCCCTTTCCTGCCGAGAACCTAGATTGCTGTCTGGACTATAGAAATATAACAACAGCTCCCCCAACAAATAAAAGGGCTCAATGACCAAAGAACTGGAGAAATGAGGGCATTGAGAAGAACAGAGAAGGCAGATTTACCAAGCCACGAACTAGCCGAGATTCATGGACAATACTCTCTTAGAAGAGGGGAAAATAAATGAGCGATTGTTGCAAACAACGTTTCTTTAATAAGCTAAAGAAAGGGGTGAGTTTGTTTGCTTTAAATATTGTGAAGGGGACATGGGGCATTTTTCCAGGTAATTGAATAATTCAACATGAAGGAAGTAAGAGATCATTGCAGATGAGCCATGGGTCTTGGAGGAAGGGAGTAAAGACTCCCAAGGAGAAAGAATAAAGCAAAGAGGAACAAGACCTTGGTCTTGGTTCAGGAAAGGAGAGAGGTAAAGGCTGTCCGTGAAGATGGATAAGTTCCGAATGATCTTCCAGTTCCTCCAGTCCAATCAGGAATCTTTCATGAATGGCATCTGTGGGATCATGGCCCTGGCCAGCGCCCAGATGTACTCCGCCTTTGATTTCAACTGCCCCTGCCTGCCGAGTTACAACCTGGCGTATGGCATGGGCATCCTGTTTGTGCCCCCCTTGGTCTTGTTCCTCCTGGGCTTTGTGATGAACAACAATGTGTCCGTGCTGGCAGAGGAGTGGAAGAGGCCCACGGGCATGAGGCAGAAGGACCCGGCTGTCCTGCGCTACATGTTCTGCTCCATGGCCCAGCGGGCCATGATCGCACCCGCTGTCTGGATCTCCGTGACACTGCTGGACGGGAAGTGCTTCATGTGTGCGTTCAGCACCTCGGTGCCAGTGGAGAAGCTGGGGAACGGGAGCTACACAGGCCTGTCGGAGAAGGAGATGAGGAGGATGCTGGCCCGCATCCCCTGCAAAGAGATCTACAGCGGGCAGGAGCTTGTGGCCAGGGAGGTGGCGGTGAGATACCTGCGCTGCATCTCACAGGTAAGGGGGGCTTATGCTATATGGGCTTGGTCCTACCTGGATGGGAGACTTTCAAGAAGAAACCCACGGTTGCTGCAGGAAGTAGTGTTGGTACCTAAAACAGGGGGTGCTCTTTCTTTGGGGTCCGCAGTGTGTGTCTGAGCATGGTTCCAGGGGGTGCTGTCTTTTGGATGGCATGTAAATCTGAGGCCTTGGCTCATCATGACCATTAACTATCCCAGGTCAGGTTTTTTGGAAGACTAGGGTTGTCAGCCTCAGTGTCTCCTCCTAGCCTAATTCCAATGTGGGTAGTTAGATTGTGCCTTCCTAAATCCCCCCCTGACGTTTCAGTTGGATTCAGCTTTCACAGTCACTGCCTGTCCTAAATTCTTGGGGAATGTTGCTGTGCACCATTAAATGGATAGCCATGTTCCACTCCAGAAGTGGCTGCATTTCGGCAGGCAAGTGATCCATACAAATCCAGGGCTAAATTCAGCCCCTGGCATACTTGGGGCAATTCCCCCTAAAGTCAATAAGAGTTAAACCTGCCTACATGAGAGCTGAATTTGGCCAACTGCCTATTCTGACCAAAGGACCCTACCTCTGCAAGATATTCTTTTATCAGAGGAGTCTGGGACCACATGGCATGGTTGTCAGAGAGCAGAAATGCAGGACATTGGCCTTCAAGGAGAACAAGAGTTGCTTAGTGAACTGTGAACCAGGGAAAGGAAGATTTTTTCGAAGGGTAGCAATTTCTGGTGGAGACATTTCTCCCACACAAACTGGCCTGGGGAGTGAGGACCCAAGTGCAGGGTTCTGATCTCAGGTCCCCCCATATGGAAGCATTCGAGATAGCCACTGGGCTGCTGGAATCATGATAATTTGGTCACACTTTATATAGCGGTTCCATTTATAAAGGGTTAATAAATGATTAATAGCTGTTTTAATAAATGGCTAATCAGATTGCTAGAGTCAAACAAGTCACAGGTTGCTTATTAGCATGGCTTATCTGACCATTTATAACGACCTATATTCCTTTATGTCGCTAATCTGCATATAAACAGCTATCAATTGTTTCAATTCTTTATAAATGGAACCTTGATATTAAGTGACTGATCATTCCTAGCACAGCTATTGCACCTTCCACCTGAGGATCTCAGAACACTTTACCTGCTGTGGGGCTCAGACTCGGATGGGCAAGTACCATTATCCCCATTTTAAATACAGAAATTGAGGCACATAGAGGGGAAGTGACTTGGCCAAGACTACAAGGCAGAATCAGTGGCAGAGACAAGAACAGAACCCGGCCTCCAGACTGATTGGCAAACACTCCCCACCAGCTGGTGCGTCATTGCAAAAGAGACAGTACCTGAATATAGAACCGATGCACAAGCCCAGGAAGGCTGCGTTAGGCAAGTCCAGTTTGCCCTTCCTGGCGCTGACAACTGGGGTCCAGCAGGTTGGCAGGGCACAAGAAAGCCTGGTCCTAATGCAGGCCAGAGGCCAGACCTCTCTATTGCCATCACTGGAATTTATTAATTAGACTGAAGAGAGCCTAGCTGCTCCTGCTCATTGAGGCTGGATATTACTGAGGCTAACAGCTTAGCAAAAAGAGACAGTTGTCTGAATAAGGGCAGCATCTGCAGTTACACAGGTTGGATAACCAATTAATAAGGACTATTGATCCTCATGCTTCAGGACACGCCATTAAATGGCACCGTATGAGCAGGTGTATGAAGGACACATGGGAATTATCAGAGACAGGGCATTGGACTAGATGCACCATTTGGGCTGGTCCAATTGATGGTAATTGTCATGCAATGCAGCTGGAGAAGTAAAGGCATGTGCATGTATGTGTGGAAATAACTAATCTAAACCCAGGTACAGGGACAACGCACAAATGGTCTCCTCATTTGCAATGTAAACATCCCCAAATGCCAAGTGACCCAGTGCCAAGCCAGCCGCATCAACAAAGCACTTCCCGGCTGCTGCTCTCAGCTTATTTGTTCCTCGTGGTTTAGAAAGGATGCAAATACCCTTGAGCTTTTCATTGGGAAGTGTAAAATCCGCCCCGCAGTCTAAGCAAGATGATTTGCCTTGTTACTGGGGTTTAAGTTCTGGCTGCTCCACTTGATTTTATGTCTTAACTCTTTAGAGCAGCGATTCTCAGACTTTAGCAACCCGAGGATCCCCATTTAGATTTAAAAATTTCCACGGACTCCCAAGCCCCCTGCTCAGCTCCAGGCCCCGCCCCCACTCCACCCGTTTCCCCAAGGCCCCACCCTTGCCCCTCTTCTTCCCTGCTTCTTTCCGCCCCTTCCCCCAAACGCACCCCATCCCCTGTCCTCCCCCTCCCTCCCAGCGCCTCCTACACGCTGCTGAACAGCTGTTCCACGGCATGCAGGAGGCGCTGGGAGGGAGGGGGAGGAGTTGCTCAGCAGGGCTGGCAGCCCTCCTGGAGTAGGGTCCGCAGACCCAAGTTTGAGAAACCCTGCCTTAGAGCCTTTATTATTCCTCTGCTAGGAGACCAGCCCCTGGCAGATGATCCATTTTCAGGTAATGCTGTAATAAATTCATGTCAACCTCCAACTTAACAGTTGTTACTATATTGCTATGCCACACGCTGGGGGTAGAACTCCTGCTATCAAAAGAACAGGCTCCTACTACTAGTGCAGAAGGAGAATCTCCATTAGCTGCTAGCAGTATAGAGCCTATGACACACACATGTCTTTCTGATTTCACTAGTAGGAGGCAGTGGTACACATGCTTCCATACTGCTGTAATATAATGTAATATAATGCTCTGCTCTGGTTCGGTTCCTGTCTATAGTGTCAGTATAAATGCTGAGTGGTAGTACATTTCATAAAAGGGTATTTCCTGGTACTTAAAGGACTCCATTAGAAGGTGGGCATGGTGTCAATCTATCCTTGCATTCAGACTGGTTTTGTAGCCATTCAGAGACCAATATAATGCCCTCAGCAACTCCAGCTTGCTTTTCCTTGGGGGTAGAATCAGTAGCCAAGGCAGTGATCGTCACCTGACCTGCAGTCTAACACTCTTCCCATGCTATATGAATTGCAGACCTAAACATGGAGGCTGCACGCTCCCTTTGAAACTGTTAGTCTGTCATGTCAAAGATCCAGATCCCAGTGCCTCCCTAGTAGAGTCTGTCATGTTAGAACAGGGCAGCACAAACCCAGGACATTAAATACAAAAAACTCTGGTGGAAGTGTAGGAAGGGCTTAATCTTTAAAGACTATGGCCTTTTAATCCCATCTCTCTGGTACAGGTCCTCCATCACCACAGCATCCAAGCGTGGATTGACTGAGCCAAACAGCAGCATCCTGCATGAGGCATCATCCACATTATCAGGAGGCAAACTGAGGCACAGAGAGATTAAGTATCTTGCACAAGGGGACTCTGGGGCAGAGCCATGAATTGACCCTTGCCCAAGGAACAAAGCAACCAAGCCTGGTCTAGCATCTAAATGACAAGACCATCCCTCCGCCAACACATGTATTGATCTGTAGAGTCTGGAAAATACCAGCATTCGAACACAAGAGAAAAAAGACCGTAGGACTTGAACTATGTGAGACTTTTGCTTAGAAATGTTTGGTGCTTTGGAGTTAGAGCGGGCGAGGGGCCTGAAGTTACCTACAAAGGTTTTCTCCATCCCAGGCCTAAGAACTGCAGCATTTAACCCTTCATAGCATGAGAAGGAAGTGAGAGCTCCCTGGCCTCCCTCAGTCCCAGCGAGACCCCTCAGCAGCGTAGCAGTTTCACATCTGTGCTGCTAGCCGATACATTTTCGTTGACATCTCTAGCAGAGGCTCTAGGGCAGAAACGGATCCGCAGCACAGCAGGGAGGGGCAGCTCTCATTCCAACTCACCTGTTACCTTTCCCTTCCTATCACAGGCACCCTAAACAGAGGCAGACAGACACACACACTCAGTCCTAAGGGGTACCCTTTTCCCCTCCAGATACTTCCAGTCCCGGAACGTTACAGATTTAGTTATTGAAGACAACTGGGGGAAAGGGTAGAGCCATTATCTAGAGAGAGTTGGCAGAGCTCAGGATCTGGTGAACCTTTCAAACAACATTTCCTCCCATCATTAAGACCATGCTGGCCATATCAGCCCCTCACTTACCTTAAACACTGTCCCACTCACGGTCCGGTTTTCCCTGTCAGCAAATAAAGCAATTCCTGTTGGATACGGACTTTGCGGTATGTTTAAAACAAACCAGAGTCTTCATAAGAGAGGGGCCTGAACTGGTGGCATCTGAACAACCCTGTGAGGTCAAGGACTTGGGATCAAGGACACGGTTTTGGTTGAGCCCAGCCCCACCCTTGGTCTTTCTTGTTGTGACTAGTTTGGTTTCCCACCTTTCACCCCTGCAGGCTCTGGGCTGGTCCTTCGTGCTGCTGATGACCATGCTGGCTTTCCTTGTCAGGGCCCTCCGGCCCTGCTTCACTCAAGCTGCCTTCCTGAAGAGCAAGTATTGGTCCCACTACATAGACATTGAGCGCAAGCTGTTCGACGAGACCTGCACAGAGCACGCCAAGACCTTCGCCAAGGTCTGCATCCAGCAGTTCTTTGAGGCCATGAACCAGGACATGGGCCTGGGGCACACCCACTCCCCTGAGGCGGCTCCCTCGGAAGTGGGGGAAGAGAAAGAGAAGCTACTGGGCATCACAGACCAGGGGACTATGAACAAGCTCCTGAAGAGCTGGCACAAATGCAAGCCGACTCTGTGCCTCCATCAGGAGGTGTTACAGAACGGGAACAGCTGGGTGGAGGAAAATCAGCATCGCAATCACATCAGTCTGCCCAAGAGGGAGATTATCACCTACTATAGTAAAGTGTGAGGATGGGCTACAGGAACAGAGATCAGGTGTGGCCTTAGAGATGGCCACCTAGGGCTCCCTTTCCAAGGGGTACCCCAGTAACATTGGGACCATTATGGTCACTCCAGAGAGGCCAGTTCAGAGCACCTCTTCCCCACCTACCCGTCCCTACTCCACGTAGCTGAGCAGAAACAAAAAGACCATTTGGAGGAGCAGGAGCTGCATGGGGTGGGCTGTTGAGCTGAGTAGGGAGAAGGGAAAATGAGCACCAGATGCCACCTTCAAACAGGCTGGCATGACAATCAGGTTTGCAGGAAGGACCAATGGCAGTGCAATTTCGCCTCTGGCATGCCTTGTATACTCCAGCCTGCAGTTCATAGGGGGGGTTGCCTCTGAGCTGAGCAATAGAGAATGCCTGGCCCCAGCATTTAGTTCTGCAGCCAGTAATTTCAATTTAAAGTCTAAATCCACCGTGACAATGATTTCTTCATACAAAGGGCAACTACTGAGCGCTTGTCTATACGGGGAGTTTAAACTGGGCTAGATGGAGTTAATGTGGTTTGAAAACGCTTGCATGCGCACAATGCAATTCATTGTAGTGCACCGACTACACATTTATCACAGGACACTGTAGTCCTCTTTCAAAGTGAACTAACTTTGCAGCGAAGCCAGTTAGTCCAGTCTATTGTTCAAGTACACGCAATGCCGCCGTGCACTACTTTGGCATTCCTCCAACTGCTATCCCACGCTGCTTTGCTAGCAAGCATTATTGACTTGTCAGCTTACCTGCATAGCCTCCCCAGCTCGGGGGTTGAGTTGACCGGACAGCTCCTCCTGTGTACGACCTGGTGCACAGCCAGATTTTGTCCATTTGCTCCTGGATTCCAGTTTATCACAATAGCTGCAATAACACTGCAGAAACCCAACAGCACACCTCCAGCAGCCACTTGGAGTCATAGAATCATAGAATATCAGGGTTGGAAGGGACCTCAGGAGGTCATCTAGTCCAACCCCCTGCTCAAATCAGGACCAATTCCCAACTAAATCATCCCAGCCAGGGCTTTGTCAAGACAGTCGTGTCAAGACCCTGGATCTCATCACTCTCTGGGGAGGTGAGACATGTTGTGGTCAGCGACCAGGACAAAGATCTTCTTGTGAACATTGCTAGGCAGATGTCTGTGAGGGGCCATGACTGGGACGCCAAACAGTGCCAAAGAAAGAGCAAACAGCTCAAGAACACCTACATTAAAATGAGGAACAACAGGGACAAAATATCCAATGAGGGACACGTAACCTGTCCAGTTTTTGAAGAGCTGGATAAGATTTTACATAACCACATGACCCTGGCCACTTTCTTCCCCATCTTCCCTCCCTCCCCCCGAGCATGACCAGCGAGACTCATAGGAGGAGGAGCCCGGGGAAGAGATCTCCCTGAAAATCCAGGATCTCTTCAGGACTCAGGACCCTGATATCGCCCAGGTAGAAGGCGAGCCTGATTCCCGCCCTGCAGCAACCAACCCCGATTCCTAGGCAGCAACCCAGACTGGGACTGATCCTACGCAGGGAACCTGGGCATGTAAGTCTTTTTAGAATAGTTATGTTCTAATTTATTATTATGCTACATTGTATTGCTAGCTTCTGTTCCAGGTGCCCCATGGCCACAGCCATTGTAGGCAGATGTGAGCTAGAAGCCTCTCTGAGGCCGAGGTCCCTGCCTCCCTCCTTTCCCTCCATCTGCCTAGGATGTCCATTCCCCCCACTCCCATATACCTTTCCAAAATGGCAGCTACTCCAGCAGGGCAGTCGGCCTCCATCTCATGCTAAAGCCCTGACTGCCAACTGTTTTCAGACCAACGCCACGGCAGGCATGTGCCCACGTACCCATTTTCCTTTTCCCTTACCTCAGCCTGGCAAACACCCTCCCCCGCCAACCCTGTGGCGCACCTCAAAATGGCAGCCACCAGCGTGGCACAGCCTCTCTCCCACCCCAGACTGGAAGAAGGAGAACAGTCTTTTGTGAGAAATGCAGAAGTTTAGTGAGCCGGTGGCTACAAAAAAGGAAGCTTGGTTAGTGAGGTTACACGTTACATGAGGTCGACACAAACACTGTGCGCCCGTAAAGCTAAAAAGGGCCCAGCTCCCCCGTAAACACCCTGTGACACGCATTCTTACCGACCGGTAATGGCGAATGTTCAGGCAACCACTGCAGAGCGCTGTCACTTTTGACATCTCTGCGGGGGAGAGAAAGCAAATGATAAGGCTGAGAAATTGCTCCATTTTTGTTGGGAGATTATGAGAAACAGCAACCTGATCATTCCTTCCCCCGGCGCCTGTATAGCTCACAACTCCCTTCTACTCCTGCAACACTTCGGGGGCGGGGGGGATCATCTTGGTGAATAACTTCACAGCATCTCTCGCTGGTCTGCTCTTGGTGGTTTTGAATAAGGCCATTCTCTGCCTCCTCGTCACCTGTCTCAGTGTAACATTATATAAGCACCTCCAAGGCAACAGCAAAACTGCCTTGAGCAGGAAACACAATTCCCACCCCCCGACTAGAAACATAATTCCCCAATCCCCCTCCCTCCCCGCCTCCATGCATAGGTGCTGGAACTAGGGATACTGGGGGTGCAGGAGCACCCCCTGGTTTGAAGTGGTTTTCATCATATTCAGGGTTTACAGTTTGGTTCAATAGCTTTCAGCACCCCCACTATACAAATTGTTCCAGCACCTATAACTCCACGGCACTACAGCAAAGCCGAACGGCATACACTGCCCAGACCAAAATCCCAAAGCACACACCGCTTACCATCCCCGAGGTTCCCCAAGCGTGGGAAGGATCTCAGAGAGGTGAAGCCAGACATGCATGCAAGAAAATGCTGTCGCAGCCTCCTTAGAACACGAACAATAACTGCTGGTCTTTTCTTTATTTTTAATGCTCCCCAACAACTGCAGCACCTGCACTGGCCAGCCCCTCCAGAACAGGGCCCTTCTCAACAGCCAAGTGGTTGGCAAAGCTGAGGGGGAGAAAACGGAAACCTGCGATGAAATGTTTGCAGACCTCAGCGTCCCCAGAAAACTGAAACACACAGGGAGGTGGAGGTTGTGTCTAAAGACTGAAGGGGAATCCGACAAGGAGCTTTCTGAGGGAGATTGGTGCAGTAGTGAAGGATGGCGTGACAGTTGCCAGGGAAAGCCTTGCCATGGCCAAGGCCAGTATGAAAAAAAAGACAGGGAGATGCCAAGATGCCCTGTTGCAGCAGCACACGTCACTATCGGGGCAGCAGGCTCTATCAACCAACCACACGTTCTGCAGCCCCTGAATAACACAGGGTACCTGGAACAACAACTCCTCCCCTCTGTATCTCTGCAGCACTGCCCCCTGAGCCATTTCCCTCCCAGACCTGAGCTCAGGGCACCTGGAACCCCTGCTCTTTTGAGCCCTCTATCGCCCCTAGTAACTTTGAGCCCAAGTCCCACGAACCAGAAGAGGCAGAGCCAAGACGTATACTGGGTCCTTGTATCGTGCCCTGCCCTGCCCTATTGTACTTTGCTGTTTTGTTTCACTGCTGGTTTAATGAAAGGCTTCTTTATAGTTAGATTGGTTTGTAATACATAGTTTCAGAATTAAAAGCCGTTGTTCCATTTTCAAGTGAAGGTTCGTTTCTGTTTATTTTATAAAAGCCTTTAAAATTTCATTCATAAGGAGCCAACATCTGCAACAGAAAATAATTAAGCTTGCACTAAATTCATCGGGTTTTACAACCACACCAGGCATCGCCGCGACATTGCACTTCCACTGCCCATAAACAACGCGGAACTGCACAAAAAACGGGTCTGAGACTCAAAATCAGAGCAATCCCTGACAAGATCGCCCCACCTGTTTGCATGTTGCATTGGACCGCTGAGCGAGTCTCTGCCCCTCGGCTTCCCACCCATCGCTAAGGCTGGCTCCCTTACTCACAAATATTGGGGCAAAACACAACATGCAGCTGCATAATCTTTGGGATTTTTTTTGTGTGTGTGTGTGATCCTGGGGGCAAACAGTCCTTCCTCCATTAAGGCAAAGAGAGCTCAGTTTTGAAAGATTCTAGCATCGGGAATCCTTCCAGACCAGCCTGTAAACCCACCACGATGGTAGCACATGCTTGGAGCACCAGGGAGAAATACCCCGCTTCTGTTTATGAGTTCTGAGCCCTGCTGGGGGTTGGGGGGGGGGGGCGGGGACAAATAATAGCCATAAGTCCCATCAGTTGTCCCAATACAGCTCGGGAACCCCGTGCATGCGAAGCCATCAAAAACCTCCTGAGCACTAGCAAGCTTTATAACCTGGTGCAACCGTACCTGGCATCACACACCTGCACGACAATAGCCCCAACAGTCAAGCTCCAAATTGGTTGGCTACGGACTGGGGGGATTCTGAATGGACAATGGTGACCTGCTTGTCCACAGGTCTAGGGCGCCGCATGTTGGTACGCTGCCGCTGTGGGGCTAGCTCAGCACATAGCTCCAAAAAGGCCACCTTCCCCCCCTCCTGCAATTCTCTCGCCACGGCTGGTCATCCCAGGTCCACAGAACAATTCGTTCCCTCCAGTCGAGGCTGGTTTCCCAGGCCCAGAAGTGGCACTGCTGCTATGAAGCTGCTCCAGGAACCAGTCCTCTAGCACGGTGGTTCTCCACCTTTTTTCATTTGCAGACGCATAAAAAATCTCCAGTGGAAGTGTGGACCCCTTTGGGAATCTTAGGCTAGGTCTACACTACAGCGAACTTCCGACCTAAGATACGCAACTTCAGCTACGTGAATACCGTAGCTGAAGTTGCGTATTTTAAGTCGGCTTACCTGGCGGTGAGGACGCAGGAAAGTCGACCGCTGCCGCGCTGCCGCCGACTCCGCTACCGCCTCTTGTCGAGGTGGAGTTCCGGAGTCGACGGTAGAGCCATCAGGGATCGATTTTACCGCGTCCTCACGAGACGCGGTAAGTCGATCCCCGATAAACCGATTGCTACCCGCCGGATCGGCGGGTAGTGAAGACGTAGCCCCAGACAGTCTGTGGAGTCCCAGGAGTCCACAGACCGCAGGTTGAAAACCACTGCTCTATCAGTTGCTTGGTGTCTTCCTCTTCTGGGTCCTGGTTCCACCGCCACTGAAGGAGCTGCTGCACCATCACCTGATTGGTGGTGAAGCAGGCAAAGTCCAGTACCAATTCCTCAGGCTTTGAGCGCTGACATACAGCCCAAGGGGCATGTGTGTATTTGAGACTGCCAGCATAGCGGCATGAAGCATGGCGGGGTCCCCGCTGACCAGGGGCGGCTCCAGGCACCAGTGCTCCAAGCGCGTGCCGGGAGCCGCAAGCCGCAGGGGAGGTGGGTGCGGCCTGACGGTCGGTGGATTTGGTGGCATGCCTGTGGGAGGACCGCCAGTCCCGCGGCTTCGGCGGCGGGTACACCAAAGGCGCGGGACTGGTGGACCTCCCGCAGGCATAGCCTTAGTTTCCAAGAAGCAAGTGCACGAAACTGCTGGAGAACCAGTTTCATAGACACTAGAGGGCACCATATGCCAGCGGAAACCCTTGTTTGGGTAGCCAGAAATAGCAAGCAGGGAGTAGTTTTTGTCCCTTGCTAAGGCTCATGCTATAGGACACGGGCAAGACTTCCTTCCATTTTATCATATGCTATTTCAGGGCTAAGAAGAGCGAGAATCAGCTGAAGGATTTTGTGGGGCAGGCTGAAAGAATCTCTCATGCACTAGGTGCTGTTGTAAACAACCTGATGGACATACAAGCTGCTCTGGAAAAGCCAGGGGAAAGTATCTAGTCTTCCCTACTAATCTCTTTAGTTACTATTCAGACTGACTTCATGGGCCACAGGAGGCTTTAAAATAACCCTGACCAAAGCACCTCTAGATAGTGCAGTGCACTCACTAATGTGCACCACTGCCCTCTACTGACGGGAACAAAAAGATTGCTCAATTGTGTGTCATAAGCCCTATATTGCTAAGAGCTTGTGGAGATT